TTCAGGCTCCATGAGCAAGAGTTGAGCACGAACCTGATTAAACGACTCATTTAAGCCCATCAAGAAAGCCATGACATACTCGGTTTGAAAGTAATTGATCAAATGTTTGACGCCGCCGCAAGTACACCGTCCACATGAACAAGAAGGACGATATGAAGCAAGTTCGTTCCACAGCGTCTTCAATTTCGTGTAATACGCGCTCAGAGATAGTTGATCTTGAGACAGATTGGATAATTCACGCCGCAATTGAAAAATYCGAGGCCTATTCTTGCGTTGATAGCGCTCTTGAAGATCAAGCCAGATCTCCCTAGYCGAATCGGAAAACAATACGCTCRCAGAAATTTCTTTAGAAAGAGAATTAAGGAGCCAAGCAATTACAACATTGTTGCAGATCTTCCAAGAATTGAGTTGAGCACCAGAAGGACGAGGAAGCGATCCATCGACGAAACCTAACTTGTTCTTCACAGTGAGTGCAATCAGCATAGACCGACTCCATGAGGTATAATTGTTCTCATTTAAAAGATYAGAAACAAGAACAAGACTGGTATTATCCGAGTGATGAAGATAATATGGATTGGAATAATTCTCAAGAACAGAAATRCCRTCACCGRCATTTGTAGACRAAGAATTTCCTGCATCTGTCGAAGAAGTATCAAGCGGAGGAACAATGGTTTCGTCAACCATGGCGGTGGGAAGTGGAACCTCTCAGAGAAAATCTGATACCATATTGAAACTGAGAGTAAATAATATTTGGCTTWTTTTTATTCAATAACACGTAGCCAATATATATACAAGTGTCTATGTACAGAGGAATAAACTGTACAACTAATACCCAACTAACTAGGACAAAATTACAATATAGTCCTAATACTATACTAAGTTTTAAAAGATAGTTAAAATGCATTTAATCTTTTTAAGTTAAAAAACATATTTGACCTCTTTATTTTCTTGATTTAGTCTACAAAGTTTTAAAAATTAGAATTTAGTTTCTATATTTTGAAATTGATTACAATTTATTATCTACTATTAGGTTAAATTTAATAGAATTATGATATGATTTGCTGTCAATTATGAGTTGGTTTAAGATTGAGTTGATTTGTCAAACGGAACATAGTTCAAGTGGTTAAGACACCTATCTCTGACTAAAAGGTCATTTCCCAATGTCGTATCATAACATTCAATAAGAATTAAATTGTAACAAATTTCAATCTACATTGACTAAATCCATTACTTTTGAAAGTTTATGAAATAAATATCATTATTTTTTTTACATGGACCAAATATTTTTTTTAACATTATTTAATATGTTTTCTACGAGGATCAATATTGGATATAAGATACTTGCATGAGATGCAGTTAGTTAAAGAATTTTATATTAAAAAAATCTTTATTTTATTGATTTGTTTATTTTTGATAAAAATTGCCAAGATGTATTAATTTTTACCTCCCGAAAGATTTTTTTTTTTTCAAGAATCATTACAGAATGAATTATTAAACATATGTCTTCTACAAAATTGACATTAATTATTCAATGTTAATTTTGTGCCTTGATTTATATTTAATTTGTTGCAAAGTTTTATTTCTATTAAAATTTGTGAGTTTTTTGAAATTTTTTTCTTTCTTTTTRTTAAAATTAGTGGGTAATTTGAATGAGCCAACAAAGAAGACATTGCAATACTTATCTAAATCTAGCGTATAATTTGAATGAAAGTGAAAATGTCTATGGAGAAAAAACTAATTATTATACCTTAAGATAAAAATTGATTTTTTATTTTTTATTTTAATTATTGTTCAAGTAATTTTTCAATATTTTGGAAAATATTTTTGACTTACTAAATAAAACTTCTTGTCTTAAAATGGCTACTCTAGTCCCTATATCAAAATGTACTCTTTTTTTTTATCTTTTTTTTCTAGCACTATAATGGATTTTTATTTTTTGTTTTTCAAGATTGAATTTTTATTGAGAAGGATGAATTGTTAAGTAATTATTGAGTGAGTTTAAAATTTTTAATAATCCAAATTAATCATAATTTTCAGGGCAAAATATTATGGATGGCCAAACACATACGTATTTACAAAAGCAATGGGAGAGATGTTGATATCTGATCTAAAAGAAGATCTTCCAGTGATTATTATACGTCCAACCATTGTTTCTAGTACCTATAAAGAACCGTTTCCTGGTTGGGTTGAAGGTGTCAGGTATATAAATACATTTTACAAATTATTTTAGGTGTAGTTTTATTAAAAATAACGTTAAATTTTGAAATAAAAATTTTAGTTTTGCGGCTGGGACAAATTWAATCTTTTCAATACATTCGAAACAAATTACAATGTTAAATAATACCTTTTTTAATTTTCCCACATATTATACTAAAAAATACTTTTTTTTACCGTGTATGAAATGCAGAACCATTGATAGTCTCGCTGTTGCATATGGTAAAGGGAAACTAACTTGTTTCCTCGGCGATGTCAAAACAATAATCGATGTGGTAATTGTAATCCCTCTTGATCCTTAATTTTGATACAGACCACAGTGTCATGTTGGATGTGTGTATGAACATACAGATTCCAGTCGATATGGTCGTGAACGCCATGTTGGTAGCGATGACCGCGCATGCAAGCCAACCATCTTACAACATTTATCATGTGAGCTCCTCCATGAGAAATCCCTTGTTGTATGGCAAGATTCAAAGCTATGGATTTCACTACTTCACTGCAAAGCCATGGATCAACAAAGATGGGCAGGCTGTTAGGGTTGGGAAGGTCACCATCTTAAACGATATGCCCAGCTTCCATAGATATATGACCCTTCGCTATTTGATATTTCTTAAGGTAAATTTGCCTCTACCTCTGATCCTATAATTTCATCTTTCATTATGGATAACTATTATGCATGAGGAAAGTCGATCTAATCAAAGTTATGTTCGGATATAGATTAAATATATCAGATGATCACTAATCTTTTAGGTTTTTTTTCTCGATTTGGTCCATTGGTTTTTAAAATTTTCAAATTTAACCTGATGTGCTAAAAAATCTCAATTAAGTCACTAATGTAAAATAATATGTTTAAAATTTGATAACAAAAAGCTAATGCGTCCTTAAAATTATTGTTATATGTTTAGACATGTGGGGCTTGTTGATGAGCGGGTCGGATTTGTTGATAGGGGAGTTGGGTTTCATATGTCAAGTAGTATGCATATTTATATTCACGTGTCCAAATATATTAATAAAACAATAATTTAATGATACATCAACTATTTATTAACAAAATTTTAATTTTTTTAGGAAGGTCTGATGAGAATTTTTTGTTCATCAAAAGTATTAAAAAATTAAGGACTAAATTGAGAACTACCTAAAAGATTAGAAGCGGTGGTTTGATATTATTTAGACAAAGGGTTTCTTAATAGCAAAATTGAAACTAGCTATATATACCAATGGTTAATTAAAAAATATTTTTAGCTCTGCTAATTTCATTGAATAATAATTTAGTCCATGTATTTTAATCATTATAATTTATAAGTACATTTGGTTCCTCCCTAAATTATCGATTATATATATAAGAAATCTCATTAAATCTTAATGACATTTTCATGATATTATTACAAATTTGAAAGTAAAGCGACTAAATCGTTATAAATTAAAGTTTAAAAATTTAATCGTAGTTAACAAAATTATTTTTCAAATCTTGATTAGTTGTAAATTGATTTAAAAAGTAATTTGGTAATGATTGAATAATTACTAAATTAAACAGGGATTGGAAGTGGTAAATACAGCACTTTGCCATTATTTCGATGGAATATATATGGAATTGGATCGAAAAATCAAATACGTTATGCGATTAGTGGAGCTCTATCGCCCCTACTTGTTCTTCAAAGGAGTGTAAGTCTTCCCTCTATTGCTTTTTTTTTTCTTTTTTCTTTAAGCTAAAATCCACAACAATAGTAATAATAAAAATAAATATCCATTTTAGTAATTACACTTTAAAAACGTCAGTCTATTTTCGATCATATGTTTAAAATTTGGTTCATTTTAGGTACTGTATTTTTAAAATGTTTATTCTCATCTCTATTCTTTTAAAAAGTTGATTTTTTTGGTCTATTTGTGGTCAATTTTATCGTTTTTTTTTTGTTTTTAATCACAATTTAGCACAACTATCCTCAATAAAAATTT